CTCGCCGCCGCCGCCTCCGCCACCCTCGCCGCCGCCCCCTCCCTCTCCACCTCCGCCCTCGGCACCGCCGCCTTCCCCGCCACCACCCTCACCGCCGCCGCCGTTGCCACCGCCCTCGCCACCTGTATCGCCGCCGCCGCCGCCCGCCCCTCCGCCGCCGACACGAGTTGTCAGATCGAGCGAGGAGCTCCGTTTGGCAGTTGAAGACGTGACGGCCACCCGCATTGTTCTCGAACCAGGAACGTACGCCTTTGACACGAGTGCGGACTGCACCTCATCATTCAACGGCATAGCGACGCTCACCGAGGAGGGCCAAAACTCCGCGCTGTGCATCTTCCGCGGCCTCGTCCTCGAAGCTCAGGTGCCGGGCACGGCGGTGATTGATGCACGCGGCGCGTCTGCAGGACCCGGTGGGCGCCGCGCCATCTTTATCGACTTTGGGCGTACCAATACGCTTGGCCGTAGCCCCTACACCTCCAGCACGCGCGACACGGTCGAGCTCATCGGGCTGAAGATCACGGGGGGCTACTTGCCGTCGAGTCAGAGTGACGCGGCCGTGGACCTCGGTCTGGCAAATGGGGCGGGCATCAAGATCCACCACATCCAGGGCGACGTGATCCTGCGACGCTGTGAGATCTACGGCAACGCAGCCAACGACACCGGCTCCAAGGGCGGAGGGATCGCGATCGCGCCGTCCTGGAACGTCCACTCCAACGCCTTCTGCAACCGGCCGGGGAGCCGGACGAGTTGCGTGCCGTCGACCGTTTCGCTGGTGAACTGCACGGCCCGCGACAACATCGCCGCGCTGGGCGGCGGCGTGTACACCATGGCGGACGGCCTCTCCCTTTCCCGCTCATCCATCTCGAACTGCGTTGCAACGAGCTCTGGAGGCGGCCTCTACTCTGCGTCCGGCCGCACCACCCTGAGCAACGGCACCCTCGTCCACGGCTGCGCCGCCCCGGAGGGGCGCGCTCTCTCCCTCAAGGGCGAGGTCGCCTATGCTCTCCCCGCCCCGACTGGCCGCTGGCTGCCAAACGGCCGCTGCGAAATCTTCCGCGCGGCCTGCACATACCACCCAAAGTACCAGGCGGCGCAGCAGTCTGCTTGTCTGGCCCACCGAGACGACTGCTCGCTCACCCTCGAGCCTCGGGCGGAGTGGTACTGCCAAGCGCCGACGTTTGTGCAGCCCTGCAATTGGGACGACGCGCGGGGCGGCGACCCGAGCCTCCTCGGCCAGCGTCTCTACGAGCTCCCCGCGTCGCCCGTCGAGCAGGACTTCCCCTTCGCCTGCGCCGCTGGTCTCCTCGGCTCTGACGACTTCGACGAGCAGTCGAGTAGCGCTTGCGCCGGCCCCTGCCCCGCGGGGAAGTACTGCCCTCACGAATCGACGCTCGAGCCGCTTTCGTGTACGAGCGGCCACTTCTGCCCGCCCGGGACCAGCATTCCGTTTCCTTGCGAAGCCGGGACATTCTCGAATGCCACCAGTCTCACGTCGGCAGGCGACTGCGCGGACTGCCCGCCGGGCCACGCCTGCGCCATAGGCAGCTTGGAGCCGACGCCGTGCAGGTCTGGTACCGTCGCGGCCGGCCCGCGCAACGACGTCTGCGCGCTTTGCCCCGCTGGCTACTATCAGGTCTTCGCCCTCCCCGCCGCCCGCCCCACCGCCCGCCCTACCGCCCGCCCCACCACCACTCCCTCTCCCTGCCGCCCTCTCCGCCGCCCTCCCCCGCAGCCCTCCCCACCCGACCCCCTCCGCCATCCCCACCCAGGACCAGCCAGCCAACGAGACGTGCATCCGCTGCCGGGCGGGCAGCTTCTGCCCGCAGGGCGCGTCGAACGAGTTGGCCGCAACGTGCAAGCCTGGCGAGTACGCCAACTTGACAGACGACGACGGCATCCCAGAGTGCTTTGTCTGTCCCGCGGGCCAGTCGTGCGGTGGCGGCGGCGCGCCGCCGACGGAGTGCTCGCCGGGGACGTACGCTGAGGGCGGGACAGATGTGTGCTCCCCTTGCGACCAGGGCACGTACCAGCCGTCGTCGGGCGCGGCTGGCTGCCTCGAGTGCGACCGCGGCACCTTTTGCCCTGCAGGAAGCAGCCTCGAGCTGCCGTCGAATTGCGCATCTGGCACGTTCAGCAACAGCTCGGACAGTGCGGTGCTCAGCCTGGACGATTGTGAGCCTTGTGCGCCTGGCTTTTTCTGCGCAGGCGGCGCCGCAGTGCCGACAGAGTGCGCAGAGGGCACGATCGCGCCATTCGAGCGAATGGAGGCATGCGACAAGTGCCCTGCGGGCGAGTATCAGGACGACGGCGGCGCCACGGCGTGCAAGGCGTGTTTGCAGGGCACCTACTGCCCAGAAGGCGCGGCGGCGCCACTGCCCTGTCCTGCCGGCTCCTTCTCGAACGCCACAGACCTCGGCGCGCCGGACGAGTGTACCGCCTGCCCTGCGGGCCACGCCTGCTCAGCCGGCAGCACCGAGCCGGTGCCGTGTTCGCCGGGTACTCTTGCCGCACGCGAGGGGCACGGCATTTGTGAGAAGTGCCCTGCGGGCGAGTATCAGGACGACGGCGGCGCCACGGCGTGCAAGGCGTGTTTGCCGGGCAGCTACTGCCCACAGGGCGCGGCGGCGCCGCTCCCGTGCGAGGCTGGCAGCTACTCGAACAGGACGGACCTCGAGTCGGCGGGCGATTGTGAGGTTTGCCCACAGGGCCACGCTTGCACCACTGGCACCGTGGTTCCGCGCGCGTGCCGCGCTGGCAGCTTCTCCCTCGGCTCGGGCAACGCCGAGTGCGAGCCTTGCAAGGCGGGAACCTACCAGAGCGACGCCGGCGCTGCTGACTGCGTCCCGTGCGGGCTTGGCAGCTTCTGCCCGGTCGGCGCGTCGCTCGAGCTGCCCGCGACGTGCGAGCCGGGCACGTACGCCAACATGACGGACGGAGACGGCTTGCCAGACTGCTTCGATTGTCCGGCGGGCTCGTCGTGCCCGGGCGGCGCCGCGCCTCCGAGGCAGTGCGCGGCGGGCAGCTACGCTGCCACAGAGCGCCTCTCCGAGTGCGCCAGCTGCTCGGGTGGCACATACCAAGACGACACGGGTGGAAAGGGTTGCCACGCGTGCGCCCCTGGCAGCTATTGCAAGCCGGGTGCGGCGTCGCCGCTACCGTGCGAGGCGGGAAGCTATTCGAGCAGGACGGACCTCGAGGACGCCTCGCAGTGCACCTTAGCCGAGAAGGGCTACTTTGCCACCACGGGGTCCACCAAGCCGACGCGGTGCTCGCCTGGCACTTTCGCCGCCACGGAGGGCCTCTCCGAGTGCGATAGCTGTGAGCCTGGCTCCTCAAGCGCTGGCGGCGCCTTCTGCAGCAAATGCGCAGCCGGAACATACGCCGCCAACCCTGGACAGGGCGAGTGCATTCCGTGTCCGCATCCCTTGAGCAGCAGAGGCGGCGGCGTCACCTGCTCCATCTGCAAGACGGGCTACTACCTGCAGGACGTGAGCGCCCTTCCGGTCGTCATCTTCGAATCCCCGACCGAGCACTGCAAGCCGTGCCCGCCAAACGCGGACTGCAGCTCGCCCAACACCACTCTCGAGGCCCTCGGCTTCCCGCGCGGCTACTGGCGCGCTTCGAACCAGACTACTGAGCTCCACAAGTGCGTCGCCTCCGAGCACTGCAGCGGCTCGGGAAGTGCGGCAAACGTGGAGCACTCCCACCGCCGCCTCGACTACGGCGACGTGGGCTCTGACGCTCTCACTGGCGCAGGCTGCGATGCGGGCCACACGGGCCCGCTCTGCGAGTGGTGCGTGAGCGACGAGCAGTACTTCAGCCGTAAGGAGGGAGGTTGCGCCGACTGCCCGACAGCGGGGCGGTTTGGCATCCTAGCAGCAGCGCTCGTCGCTCTCGCAGGGACGGCATTCCTCTCCTACCGAGCACTCAGCCGCATCGCCGTCAAGGCGCTTCGCCGCATCTTTGGCCCTGCGACGGCGACCCGGCTCAGCCAACTTGAGGCGCGCGTCGGGTTTCAACCCAAGTTGAAGATTGTGGTCAGCTTTTACCAGGTCGCTACGACGCTCGGCCCCGTGTACGGCGCTCGTCTGCACGAGGACTTTACCAGTTGGATACGCGTCTTCGAATTCTTCAGTTTCGACCTCCTCGGCTTGACCTACCCGGACGCTTGCATCGGCTCGATGAGACACCGGCTGCTGCTCGCCGCTCTGTGGCCATTTGCCGTCATTTTGCTCGGAAGCGCCGCTTTTGCCGCCCATGCGCTAACAGTGTGGCTGTTGCTCCGAAATCCGGTCTGGCAGAGTCGGAGGGGACGGCGGTGGCAGTCTGGTACGAGTGGTATCGTCGCCGTCGACGCGGACGGTGACGGCATCCCCGACCGTGGTGTCGTCGCCGTCGACGTGGACGGTGACGGCATCCCCGACCGTGGTGTCGTCGCCGTCGACGTGGACGGTGACGGCACCCCCGACCACATCGAGGACGTCGACGTCATCGACACAGATGGCGATGGTGAGGTCACCGTTTCGGAGCTCAACAAGCACCGCTGGCGCGAACTTGTCCGAGAGACGCAGAGCCGGATCCTGTACTTGGCGATCCTCGTTGCCTACTTCGTTCTTCCCTCCGTCTCTCGCTCCATCTTCAAGGCACGTATGTGCGAGACGTTTGGCATCAGCGTCTTTGACACGACCGCGCGACGCAGCTACCTCGTGGCCGACCTCGAGGTGCTCTGCCGCTCCGACGACGAGATGTACCGCGGGCTCGACGCCTACTTTTGGGCCTTCTTTGTCCTCTGGCCGGTGCTGGTCCCGCTTGTGCTCCTCTGCTTGCTGCTCTGGATCCGCCGCGACGTGCGGGCCCTGCGTGTGACAATGCTCTCTCGCGCCTGCCGCTTCCTTTGGCGCGACTACAACGCTAGCTGCCACTACTGGGAGCTTGCCGACATGTACCGGAAGCTCTTCCTCGCTTCGCTGGTGCTCTTCATCCAGACAGACGACGGATCGTCCAAGCTGCTTCGCCTCGTCGTCGCCTCTGTCGTCTCGGCCCTCTTCCTCACCGCCCTCGCCCTCGTCAAGCCTTTCAAGCGCTTCGACGACTTCTACCTCGCGTGCACCGCCAACCTGCTGCTCACCTGCTGCTTTGTCCTCGGCACCGTGGTTCAGATCTGCGAGAGCGTTGCTTACGAGGACATGTGCGACACGCTCGTGGGCTTCGAGAGCGCGTTCGGCGCGAGCGCGTTTGTCATCGTGCTCACCGTAGCGATGATCGCCTTGTCGCTTGTCCTCGTCGTCTTCAAGGCCACCAGCGCCCTCCGCGCGCCCACCATCCGGCTTCTCTCGACCGGCCGCGCCCCGGTGATGGACATGTCGAAGAAGTGCCACTTCCACGGCTTCATCAGCCACATCTGGTCCACGGGGCAAGACCAGACGCACACCATCGTTCGGCAGATGAAGCTGGTGATGCCCGACGTGAGGATCTGGCTAGATGTGGATTGCCTGGAGAACCTCGGAGCCCTCGAGGAGTCGGTCGGCGACGCCACCACCTTCCTCGTCTTTCTGTCAGTGGGCTACTTCAAAAGCCGCAACTGCCGCCGCGAGCTCTACGCGGGCCTCGCCTTGGACCGGCCCTTTATCCCGATTCACGAGGCCGATGTCGAGAAGGGCGGCGCAGCGCTCGAGGAGCTCGAGGCCGAGTGCGTCGAACACTGCGTCGACGACGCCGGATTTGGCACTTACCCCTCCTACTCAGGGCCGGCCGAGATGGTGGCCCGTATCTTCAAAAAAGAGGACCCGATCCTGTGGGTGCGGGTGAACGCCTTCCAGCTCGAGTCGCTCAAGTCCATCGCGCTGCGCATGCTGAGACACTCCCCGTACTACATGAGGCACCCCGAAACCCTCACCTCGGGCGTGATGGTGGCAGGGGAGGTTCCTCCGTTCGCCTTTGTCGGCCCCGTCACCATCCTCGTGTGCCGCGACAACGACGGCGCCTGGTCTGTGGCGGAGGAGGTCCAGGAGGCGGCCAAGACGGGGCGCGCGCTGGCGCCAAAGGCAGCCAAGGACGGCGTCGTGGCCATCCGCGAGGCGGACGACGCGCTCGAGACTGCGGACGCGCTCCCCGGCAATTCTCGTCACGTGCTCCTGCTCTACATGACGGACCGCCTGTGGTACGACCCGGACGGCACCGTCGCATGGCTGGTGCAGGCGGCAATGGACCGGAAAATCACGATCGCGATGGTGCACGAGCAGACGCCCAACCTCGGAGGCTGCGCCTTCTCCACTTTCTTTCAAGGGCAGACGCCGCAAGTGCTGCTTCAGCCTCCCTACAACCTCTACAACGCGCTCGCCATACCCCTCTACGGCTCGCCCGAGCACCGGAAGGTGAGCCTGCGCCACGTGCTGCGCCGCATGGGAGCCGCGCCGTGCGATGCGGGACTGCTGCGGCGGAAGCTGCAGCAGCTCAACCACTTCATGTCGGTGGCGCGGCTCGTTCGGCGGCGACCGCGCCAGCGAGGCAAATCCCAGCAGGAGATTGCGAGGAGTGTCAAGAGGCGCCGGAGACGCCGGCAAAGCGAGGGCTCAGATCCGGACCAGACAGTGTCAGCAGCCGTGGTCAGCGTCAGCAGCCGTGGTTTGGATTCGGGCTCGAGTAGCCCAAGCGGCGGCGGCAGCGGCAGCTCGGACAGTACAGACGTAGTCAGCGTCAGCAGCCGTGGTTTGGATTCGGGCTCGAGTAGCCCAAGCGGCGGCGGCAGCGGCGGCGGCGGTGGCGGCGGCCCCGCAACCCCCGGGGCAGCTGCCGGCGTGAGCGGCACACCGACGGCCGCCAACGCGCAGCCGGTCCTGTCGGCCAAAGCGCGTGGCAAGCAGCGCGCCACGTCGAACACGTCGCCTCCCGTGAGCGCCGGAGGGAGCGCCAGCGCGGAGAGCGATAGCAGCCCGGTTGCGGCAAGCGGGGTGAGGCAGCCGTGGCCCTCTCCATCTCCCGCCCCGCTGCCGGGCGGCGCTGCTGGAGTGCGGCTAGCTCTACGCGGCGCACCTCGCCAGAAGGAGGAGGAGGGCTGGTTCTCGTGGATGTGGTGAGCGCACGGTGCAGCTCTGCTGCCTGCTGGGGGAGCAGACGGCTCCTGAAAGCTGCCCTCAGCAGAGGCGTTTTGACGGAGCATCGAAGTTTCCTAGAGCCAGTGCCTCAGTCAGTCCCGTGCCTACCTAGGTAGTAGTGTTGAGTTTGTGAGAGAGCGGAGGGTGGCTTGTAAATAAAATTCATGTTGACTTTTGTTGTACGAACAACGAAGGTTGTAAGATGTAACGCGCTTAGGCGATACACTCGCGAGAGGCTGCGCGAGCTGCGCGCGGCGCTCGGCTGGCAGCTGCGGACCGCCGGCAGCTCGGCGACGTGTCCGAGTCCTTCCAGCGGCTTCAAGTCCATCTTCCGCGAGGCGCCGCTCGGCTGTACCTCGGCCACATTCTCGGCTAGACCTCGGATAGACCTCGGCAACGTGGCGCCGATCCAAATCTCGGAGGAGGAGATCGCGAGGATGTCCGAGGGCGCGAGCGTGTGTTCTCGCTGTGAGAAATAGGCGTGGAGACAAGTAGTCGGTTGGTAGTGGGTGGGATTAGTAAGCGATCTGCGATTTCTTTTCCGCCTCAGGACCCTCTGTCCAGCGTCCACCCATACCGCGTTGGTGTCCAGTCCGAGCCTGTTCTTCAAAGTGGACGTTCAAGTCCAGTCCGAGCCTGTCCGTGCTTGCACTTTGAAGTCACTTTGCCGTGGGGCTCCTGTCGTCAGACGTGGAGACGCGAGGGTTGCCCCCCCTTGCCCCACCACCTCGTGTGTGTGGAGAAGTTTACCTTACCTTACCTTACCTTACCTTAAGTCACTTTGAATGCCGTGGGGCTCCTGCCCGTGCGGTCCGGGTGTGGAGATGCGAGGGTCGCCCCCCCCCCCCCCCCGTTGCCCCACCACTTTGTGTGTGTGGAGAAATTTACCTTACCTTACCTTACCATTTTTGGTTTCCCTTGAAAATGCGGATTCGCCCCCTCTCGGGAGCGCCCACCGCACAGAATAGCACGTCCAAGCCTGTGGCGCAATCAACTGATACGATTCTAGTCAACCGCCTCGCCCGCCTCGCCGGTCCCCGCGTTCATCTGGTGGCGCCACGCCCGCCGAGCGCCGCGATCCCATGACAAAGGTGGGCGCCGCGTTGACATGCTCGCCTGTTCACGCGTGTGGACTGGTGAACAGACGTCGCTCACAAGCCGAGAGGGGGGCGCCGCGGCGAGGAGGCGCCGAGCTCAGCCACCTATGGCGACATGTCGGTGGACGTGTGAGGGACGCGTCTCCCAGAAGGCCGCATCCGCCTAGCTAGCGCGGCTGCCGTCTCTCCGATTGGCGCGCGGCAGTTGGGGCAGAGCTGCGCCTCGGGCGGCCGCGCGAGGAGCGCCTCGTAGCAGCCGCGGCAAAGCGAGGCGTGGCCGCAGCCGAAGCGAACCTCGCACGAGGGAGGGCCGAGGTGAGGAGATGGGCCGAGACGAGCCAAGGGCAGACGCGCTGCAAACCTCGCGAGGGTTGAGCCAGCACACCACGCAACAGCGCTCCTCCTGTTGACACGCGGAGGCGTGAGGAGACGCCCTTCTCACAGCGCCGTCACGCGGCCGCGCTCCTCGTCGTCCGCTTGCGCCATAACCGACCCTGCAGCGTCGGAGGGCTGCGCCGCAATGCCACCACTCCCAACGCCAGGGGCCGTGTCGCCCTCGGCGCTGCCGTCAGTGCCCTCGTGATGTTGTGCCGCATCGAAACGAGAGTCGCCCATCCCAACTGCCCTCAGCCGCAGCAGCGCCTCCGAGAGGGGCATGCGGTCCTCCACGTACTCCTCTGTGAGCCCGAGGACCAGCTCCGACAAGGCGCTCACGACCGACGGCGGCCAACTGTCGGCCCAGCCGCCCGGTGCACCATCGCGGCCGCCAGCACTGCAGTCGGGCACGCCCGGCGGCTGCCACCGCGCAGGCTCCTCCGGAAACTTGAGCAAGCGGCGGCACTTGCCCTTCAGGCCGATAGCGGGCAAGCCGACAAGCGCCTACAGCCGGAGATGCGGCCACAGTTCAGCGGAATGCGGCCGATATGCAGCAGTACCAGCCCCGGCGGACGCCATCAGAGCAGTGACGCCGACCGCGTACCCGTCGGTGTACGTGGAATGCTGCCCACCATTGACGATGAGGGGGTCGACAAAGCCCGGCGTGCCTAGGGAGGGCAAGAAAGGAGCCGTCGAGGAGCGGCGGAAGGCTGCTCGGTGGGGCAGAGCCAGAGCACGGGTACCGCATACTCGCGCTGTCGAGAGGTGCGTCTGCGCGGCCTGCGCCTCCGTCGCCGCCTTCGGGCAACCCCCATCGAAGCACTTCGTGTTGGAGAGTCGAGATATTGAGATTGTGACCAGGAGGGAGGGACGCTGGGGATTCTCTCAAAGGTATACCCTTGGAATGGCCGGATCCAGCCTTGAAAGTACGAGATCGCGCGCGCTTCACGCGCTGCACCGCCTGTTCTCCGCGGCTGTGTGACGACGCGTGCCGTGTACCAGCAGAGTTGGGCGCGCGCGGCGCGACGGCGCCCGCGAGGGAAGGCGCGGGTGCAGCGGCCGCCGGCGGCCGTACCGCCCGCCAGCCGGCGCAGCAGCGGCCAGCGCAGCGGCCGCCGGCGCAGCAGCCAGAGCAGCCGGTGCGCGCCTTGCGAGGCGAGTACTGCCGCCCGGCAGCCTTGAGGCGGCCGGGCGGCAGTACTCGTTCGAACTTTGCGAGCCGTGCGCGCGCCGAGGCACGCGCGGCGCGCGCCCGCCCGGCTGCCAGTAGGAGGCGGCGCAATATGGCCATAGTACAGCCCTTGAGGAGGAGGAATAGGCTGGCTGGCAGTGCTGTATGCCGCCGAGGGGGCAGTTTTGGGGTGCTGTCCCCATCCCAGGGGGCTGCAGAAGGCGTCCGCAACCGGGACAACCCGCCCCCCCCGCCGAGGCCGGCGAAGCCCACTTGAGTGCAGCCATGAGGAGTCCTCTTGGTGCTCCTGGCGGCCGTTCAAAGGTCGGGCGCGCGCCGAGGGGGGGGGGGGGGGGTCTTGCTTGCTCCACACCGAGCGCCATCGGTCCGGACCGGTGCTTGCACCGAGGGTCGGCTTGCACAAGGTCTGAGCCGTGGGCGCTCGGCGCCAAGTGCAGTGTCACGCTCGCACGCGAAGGGGACACAATGGGAAATCCTCGCTATTCACTCGGTCCCCCAACGGAAGAGGCCTCGCTCCTATTGGAAGGTAAGGTAAGGTAAGGTAAATTTCTCCACACACACAAAGTGGTGGGGCAAGGGGGGGCGACCCTCGCATCTCCACACCCGGACACGGGCAGGAGCCCCACGGCATTCAAAGTGCAAGCACTGGCCCGGTGCACGTGGGTGAGCAGCCTGCCCCTCCCTCCCGACAAACAACTCCCGCACACACACAATCGCACTCTGGCCATCGAATGACTCCGAATGACTCACTGTGTGTGCTAAGACAGAATCTCCGCAGACATCCAAAACGGGCCGTGCCGCGTTTGTGGTGTCTTCTCAAGCACTAGCATCCGGGCGCCGCACTCGAGTGGGCGGGTCACATCTATGTGGGCCCAGTGCGCACTAGGCGCATATGCTAGTGCTATCCTGCCCTATGGGAGGCAGAGGGATGGGGGGAGGGGGGGGCAGAGGTAAGGTGGGGTGAGACTGGGGAGGACCTCAGAGATCCTCAATGGGGGTGGGGTCCGGCTCGAAAAGGTCAAAGTGCTCGATGCCGGTCCCGCCATCGCCGCCGACGCCGTCGCCCTCGTCCGCCTTGGAGGCGGAGGTCGTCGGGCGGGGCGCCTCGCCCGTCGCGAACCTGCCGCTGAACACGGCGTCGGCCGGCGCCGAGGCGCCGGCAGCCGTGATCAGGTCGGCGACCTTTCGGTCCCTGCAGGCCGCATCAATTTTGCCGCGCCGGGACGGCTCGTAGAGCTCGTTGGCGAGCCAGTCCCGGGCGACCTTCGTCGCCACGGAGCCCAGAGGGACCGTGGCGTACACCAGGTCGCCGAACCCGCCGCCCCCCTCGGGAGGCAGCGAGTAGGCGACCTGAATATTGGACCCTGTGGGGTTGCGCGCCGCCTGCGTCGCAGCCTCCAGGCCCTCCATCACGAACTCGACGTTCTCGCGCAGCTGCGCGTGCGGGTAGTCCGCACGCTCGGCCTCGCTCGCGGCCGCCGCCGCAGCCTTCTTCTCCGCCTTGTTCGCCTTCTGCCGGGCCTTTTTGATATTATATTGGAACACTCCAACATCAGATTTGCCTCGTGCGTCCCTTTTTGAGGCGGAAAGCTATTTTCTTTTGGGTCCTGTGCGCACCCTAACGTACCAGTGCGCGCCCGTCCCGTGCCCAGTGTCGTGCGAGGGAGTTTTGTTGTAAAATTCTTTATCGCGCGAGGCGCAGCGCGCGCCTGTGTCTTCTGCGCGAGATCCTAGACCTAGTCCCTGGCTCCCTACAGGAAGTCAGCTTAGCCGCGTTCCTTGTGTGTAGTGTGATTGATGCCTCGTAAGAGCCTCTACGGACTACGCTCTATACCACTGTAGGCCTCTAGCTAGTCGAGGTAAGAGAGCGAGGAAGGAAACAGCTCTGAAAAAATGTGAAAAACAGCGCGCAGAACGCTGACACGTTTCGTTGAGAGAATCTCGTTCAGCAATCACGCCGTAAATATATCGGAGACTCGCGGCGGTCCGCAAACTCCGGGACGCGTCCCGGACCTGGGCGACTGGCGCAACTGCTCTCGCGCGGCCGGGTCACCTCCCGCGCGGATCGCGGAAGGGATACACCTGGACGCAACCTCGCCACCCCTCGCTCCACACGACCGACCCTCTCTCGTGCGGTGCGCGCGCGCTACCCGCTCGTGCGGATGTTCGCCTTCCAAGGGCGGCGCAACGTGGCCATCGCTGTCGGCCGCTGCGCGAAATCGGTCGCGCGCGCGCGGCAGTCGTCCAAGCAGCGCCTAATCACAGCAAGGCACGCGTGGAGCGTGTGTGGCCAGCGCGCGACCGGACGGTCAGTCAAG